ATCAACAGCACCGGCAATATCAGCGGCACCAGAGGCCGCAACAGGGGCAGCAACACCAGCACAACTCGCAGCAGCAGCAGCGGAAGAAGCCGCCGCCGCGGGGGCGGCAGCGGCGAGACCAACAGCAAGCGGAGGTCACGACCGCGGAGCGCGCCAACAAGGACGAGGAGGGGGGCTGAGCGGCCGTGGAGGAGGTAGAGGAGGGGGATGAGCGGCCGTGGGGGAGGTGGAGGAGGGGGGCGAGGGGCAGCAGCGCCAGGTCGTGGAGCAGGAGGAGGTGGGGCTGGAGGAGTCGCCGGTGGAGGGGCCGGCGATGATGATGNAGGTCACGACCGCGGAGCGCGCCAACAAGGACGAGGAGGGGGGCTGAGCGGCCGTGGAGGAGGTAGAGGAGGGGGGATGAGCGGCCGTGGGGGAGGTGGAGGAGGGGGGCGAGGGGCAGCAGCGCCAGGTCGTGGAGCAGGAGGAGGTGGGGCTGGAAGAGCCGCTGGTGGAGGGGCCTGCGATGATGATACTTCAACATCCAGTGCGCAGGAACGCTTCTTTGAAGAAGTGAAGGACAAGATCGACCGGAGTATCACCCACGAGGGAGGTGGTGTGAAAGGCCGGTTCCCGTTTGACAACCCGCTCGTGCGTCCGAAGTGTGCCACTTTTCAGCCATCACCAGGTACGCCAGAGGAGTTGTTTTTTTTGGGGGGGGGTAAATGGCTGCCGATCTATTTTATTTTCAGATTAAATCGTCCAGGGAAAATACATCCCATCCCCCGGTAGGCTTTTTTCTTTGTCTCGCGTGCCTGATGTTCTGATATATCTACCTCACATTTACGCGCGCCCAGACCTACCGAAACTCGACCGGTTTTATCAGAAGGCGGTATTGGTATGGATACCGGAGTTCTTGTTCCCAGAGCTCCAGGCAGTTCCTTGTCCAGGATGTGGGGGCAAGGGCGCACCTGATGGCTGGAACCCTAAGGGGCCACGCCGGGTGTTCATGGAGCACGACGTGGCGTACGTGATGGGGTTTCGGTAAGTTCAGCATGCGAAGAAGAGTGTTCGCTCGATAAACTTCATCAGTCATGTTGTCGTGGCATCCGACGAATTCTGGGTTTCTGGTAGATTGGAGTTCGTGTTGTGGTTTTCCGACGATATTGCTCGTGGTGTATGTTTTCTCCCATGCACGTGCAGGTACAAGTGTGCGAAGTGCGCGGAGTTCAATAAAGGCAAGCAGGAGGCGGAAAAGCGCAAGACGAGCTTCAACGCGTGGGATGCTGGGTGCCTCCGGCGTCTCCCGGAGTACATCTCCAAGGAGTTCCCTTTCCTTCTCACCAAGCGGTCGGGCATTGAGATTTGCAAGGTGGATCGGCTTACAGATCATTTGGTGCATGGGAAGGGCTTCTCCGGTGCTGCCAAGGACATTCGTCAGGTGACTATGCAGTGTCTCATCTGCAGCGTCTTAAGATAATGGGTTGGTCTGGTCTTGGCTTTCCTGGCCTGTTCGAAACATTTGCAGATGGTACCGCAAACGTTGCTGCGGGAAATGTCGAATCTCATAAGCGCCGACCCGTGCTACAACGAAAACGTGTCGCCCTCGCAATGCTGTTGCAGGCGCATACGACCAAGTTCATGGTGGACCAGCTGAAGTACACCTCTCTGGTCAACACCCGGCGGACCAGCTCGGGCATCTTCCGCTCG